TTCACACAGAAACTTGTACATAAATGTTATAGCAGGTTTATTCACAATCGCCAAAACTAGAAACTACTCAAATTTCTTACAGCAGGTGAATGGTTAAACACACTGTAATATATATGTACCATGCAGTACTACTCAGCAATGAAAAAAATGAACAAACTTTATATACACAACAGTTTAGGTGGATCTTAAGGAAATTAGGCTAAGTAAAAAAAAAGCCAATCTTAAAAGATCCCATATTATATTTCTATATAAGTAACGAAATTATATAGATGGAAAACAGATCAATGGTTGCCAGAGTTTAGAGATGGGAGGCAGAGGTATGGATGGTGTGACTATCAAGGTATAAATAGTTCTCTACCTTGGTTGTGATTATAGTTACAGGAATGTACACGTATTGTAAAATGACCTAGAACTATATATGTAAGTTTTACCAATGTCACATTTTTGGTTTGATATTGTACTATGTAATCATTGGGGAAAACTGAGTGAAGGGCACATGGGACCTCTCTGTACTAGCTTTGCAACTTCCTATGACTCTAAATAAAAGGTTAAATATCTATCTTAAACACCTTTCACATAATTTTTAATTCCTTGGCCAATGGTAGAGAAAGTAAAGAATTTGTCCTTGTCTCTCCCAGGTATTGTTTGAACTGAAGGGAAAGGAAGTCACCCAATAACTGCTAGTATTCTGCCTTCTAGGTTGATGTCTCCAAGTAGCATTACCTCATTTTGATTCTGATGATGTTTCTGGCAGGAAAATGGACATGCATTTGGTGTAGTGGTTAAAGCTGTTAACCAAAAGATCAGCCATTTAAACCCACTAGCTGCTCTATAGGAAAAAGATGAGGCAGTCTGCTATGAACAGCCTTGGAAACCCTAGGGGTCAGTTCTCCTCCGTTCAAAAAAGGGTTGCTATGAGTCAGAGTCGACTCGGTGGCATTGGGTTTGATTTATAAGAAGTGCATAGGATATTATTCGGAAAACACACAAATGGAGCCTAATGAATTCTGGCCTTAGTGGTAGACAGTTACTTCAGTTGCTGGAAGCACCAATGAAGAATGAGTTTCATAAGGAGGAAAAACAAACAACATTGGACTTAGAGGCAAATGCCTGAATTTTAATTTGGAACCTTCCATCTTCTAGCTGGGGTGACTTTGAGCAGGTCACTTGGCTGCTCTGCGAAGACCATTGTGGTCTTGTTTATTTTGAATAATGGATGAATGAACTCTATGAAAGTTCATTGTAAATTGACAAGTTGAAAAAATTATTATTGAGAGCATGGTGGTGGTAGGACCTCTTATTTCTTTACTAGTCAAAAGATTGTCTAGAATCTTTTCCCTGGGGAAGAAAAATCCCCATCTTTTTGGAATGGTCCAGTACACTGGGATAGATAATCAAATGTAACAGAAATAAAATTTTGAATTTTGAAAAGATGAGAGCCTTAGATCAAATTGAATTGTATATAGAAGATAATTGAGTTAGGAGAGAAGGGAAATATTCTTGGCAAAAACCCTTGTGTGGCACCCTACCCTTTACCACATTACCCCTAAGTCTATGCATTATGTTTCTGGTCTCAGAGTCAGTGTGTATGTTTATATGTGTCTGTCTGTGGTCTGTCTCTGTGTCTATTTCCTTCCTTGACGTCTCTCTTTTTTCCATATGGTCATTCTAAAAACAAAAATTAGGAAATGTGGATAAACAGAAAGGAAAAAATAAAAACCAGAGGTGGTGGTGGTTGTTGTTAAGTGCCGTCAAGTCGGACCTGACTCATAGCGACCCCTCCTTGGGTTTCCAAGGCAGTATCACTATGGAAGTAGATTGCCCAACCTTCCTTCCGAGGAGTGGCTGGT